CATTTGCCCACAGAACACAAAGTCACTACACTTGGTAGCAATTCTCCGTGAAGCGCTTTGAGGCGTTCTGAAGGACGCAAGAGTCAATTATGAGCATCTCTTGAAGAATCAATGAGGTCCCTCCTCCTCCTCACCCCCCGCCCTTTCATCTATCCTTACGTCACACCTGAAGACTTTCCTCTTCGACCGCTCCTAATGGGTCACCTCCCCATTCTCCCTCTGCTCAGCGTCCAACCCCTCCACCAAGCAGCGCTCTGAGGCGCTAACCTGTGTGAAGGAGTGGTGTATAAATACAAGTCGCTGCTGTTACTGTTCATGACAAATTGACTGGGGAGCAGAGCATCAAATAGGATGAACTCTCCTCCAGGTCCGCGGAGAAGATAAGGACGGCACATTTCATTATGCTAAAGAAACGGTGGGTTTCTACTATGTGAAGTTTTAATAGGAATCAGAGTTGCTGCTAATTTAATCCTGGAGAGATGGAGATTGATTTTTTTTCTCTCTTTCAGACACTTAGAAACGCCAATTAAACGTGAACGACAGCGCAAATCAAACACGGGCGCTTGTTAATAGATTGATGGCAGCAACTCGTCCGGGATGGGGGGGGTGGGGGGGTGAGAGGGTGGGGGAAAGAGTTTTGCCAGCTTTAATTTTGAACCTTTTACAAAATTGCCCAAATCCTTCGAGGAGTCTCCGGAACCCGGTCTGACCGGGATTCCCGGCTTTAAGCAGAGATCACAAGAGCAAAGCAGCCATTCGCGCCTCGGGGGGTGTGGGGGGCAACCTGGGAGACCCTCGCGAATTAGCCTCGTAATAATACTCGGAGTTCAATCATTGAGTTGCGATTGAGACTGCCCCCACCATCCCCCTGTGCAGTTAAAGTCTCCTCAAGAGCCTCGCATCAAACGGGAGTTTGTTCAACTTATAATTATGCGGAGTCTTGTAGCTCAGGGGTTAGAGCGCTTGCCTCTCGAGCGAGAGACCCGGCTTCGATTCCCGGCAGGTCAGGGCGAAACCTTGGGCAAGTTTCCGTACTCCACACGCCTGATAATAATCCCTCAAGAAGAAAAAACAATAATAAATCGATCACTTCAATCCACGCCTGTTTGTGGGGGGGGGGACGCTGCTGTGCGCAATTGGCTGCCGCGTTTTGCCCACAAAATATGCAGTCATTTCCCTCGACAGTGAAGCGCTTGGAGAGGTCTAGAAGACTTGAAAAGCGCTATATCAAATGCAAGGATTATTATTATTATTATCATCAGCAACCCGCTACGAGAAGCCTCTCGGAAACTTATTTGGGGGGGGGGTGTTGTGGGTGGGAAGAAAGACACGTAACTGAAGAGTGGGCAGAAATCTCCATCGTTTGCTGGGAGGGGGGGTTGGGGAGGAGGGTTGGGCACCAGCCAACTTCATCACATTACTGTCCCGCTCATCATTCTTCCTCCGCGTAATAGGACTGAAAGGATCTTTTGAACAGAATCATGCAAAATGGCTGAGAATCTATAACTGACATCCGAACGCAGAGATTACATTACATTACCGGCTCAAATTACTGCTCCTATCTATTTTAATATTGTCACGGCTCTGTTTTGTATTTAAAGGGGCAGCCTCCCATCTCTCTCCCTCCACCCCCCCCCCCCCCACCCTCCTCCCCCATCTCGTGCCACAGCCTCGACTGCCGATCCAGACACCAGCCGGCTCTCTGGTCCTCGCTGTTGAGATGTCAGCCCGGCTCAGTCGGTCACGCTCTCGCCTCTGGATTCTCAGTGTAGGCTGACGTTCCAATACTGCGCTGGTGGGGCGGGCGGCGGGCGGGAGGGGGGGGGAGGAGGAGCGCCAATTATCGGAGGCCCCGACCTTCGGATGAGACCTTAAAACCGAGGATTTGCTATGAAGCGTGGTGACTGCACTTTGCCGTCGAACAAGGCAGCTGATTTGCACACGGGGGGCAATGTCCAGCAAACAGCCCTGAAATTTTATTAGGGGATTGGTGGCCGGGTGCAGGTTTCAAGTTGTGCCGTGGGCACCTTGACGGCCACCGAAATAGGTGGTCGGGACCTCGGTTTAACGTCCTATCCAGAGGACGGCACCTCTGATAACGCAGCACTCCTCCCTCCCCCCACCCCCCCAGCACGGTAACGGAAGAGGGCAGATGTGTGTGTGTGTGTGCGTGCGTACGTGCTGCCTGTTTTGTCCCAGGTCCCATTACTCTGCGCAATAAACACGGGGTTTTGACCCTTCACGGTCTGCAGGTGGTATTTGCAGGGTTGAAATATTGGCGTTTGCTCACATTGCCTCATAAAACCTGGTGACTGAGGTCACTGGGAATACAGTAAGTTTGGGACTGTTGCCAAATCAATTCTGTCTGTATTTCCCAGGACACAAATCACCTGGAGATACAAGAAGGGCTCTGAAATGTGTGTCTGAATTACGGTACAGAGTGCAAAATACTACATCAGCTGCAAATAGATGCACACACACACACACAGGCAACACACCC